CTTTAGGTAGTAATGACATCTTAACTATATTTATTCTTCCTATCCATGAGCATGGAATGTTTTTCCATTTCTTTGTGTCTTCTTCAATTTCCTTCATAAGTTTTCTATAGTTTTCATCATACAGATCTCTTGTATCCTTGGTTAGGTTTATTCCTAGGTATTTTATGTTTTTGATAATCATATTCTAATATAATGACTTTTCTTTGTAATATTCTTTGTATCTTTTACATACATTATGAGAAAAGGGTCTATTGAAAAAAAAGAGTTAATACCTTGCTTTGGTACAGTGGTGCTCTTGTTTGGCTGCCCATTAAAATCACCTACAGCCTTAACATCTAGATCCCAACTGAGTGCTTTGATTTGGTTGGTTTGGGGTAGAGCCCAGGCAACTTTTAGAAAGATAGTCATGTGATCTGACAAGCAGCTAAAATTTGGAATCATTGCTCTTCTTACCCTTGTAGAAGCTGCTTTTATGCAACAACTTGAGCAATGGAAACCTGAGTAAGATAAAAGGGCCCACAGGGACCATGGAGCTGAATGTAAACAGGCTCATTAAGCAGCCCACCTCAAAATAAACATAGGCCCTAACTTATCAATCACAACCAGGTGTAGTTCCTAAGATAACCAAGAAAGGAAAATCTCATACATCCTCATATTCTCTTACTCCACCCTTTAACTGTGGCCTCTCACTCCTGCCCCCTGCAGGCAGTTTCTCCTTTGCTGTCCTGCCTGCTGCTCCCTTGTGCTGTATTCAGTAAACTTCTATATCTTTTGTTCTACTTTGAGTGAATTCTTTCACCGCCCATGCCACTGGCCCACACCCAACTGGAACACTCCACCGTTGGTGGGTCCCCATCTGATCAGAGTGTCCCATAACCCTCCTCAAATCCTGGGGCAAGTAAATTGAGATGACCTGCTAGTTCAACTGAGAAAGTGGAGTGCTCTACAGCTCTCTCTTCTTCTCACACTATTAACAAATTCAAGAAAGGCCCAGATGGACTCTCGGCCTTCATCAGTAGGGCTCTTCAAGTTGACTCTGCTTAAGTCACCCAGGTTGCTTGATGATGGAGCAGATTTTGGGATCTATCTCCAGGGGTTCTGACAGTACATCAGGAAGTCACTTTGCCATAAAGCTGCCAGGAAGATGGTGGTACTGGTGAGCCACCTACACTTGGAGACATAGTACCTTAGGGGGCACTTCTTGCTTTTCGTGATTGGCTTAGGCTTCTATCCTCTGCAGTCTGTCTCAACCCCTTATACTCACTTAGCACCTTACACCCTCTCACACCTGGAAGCTTGAATTCCTTCCATGGACTTGCTGATGTCAGTTGTCTCTCAATAGCTTGCTGCTGCCTTGGTGTGGGGCAACCTGAAGAACAAAAAGGCACTAACTCCAGAGA